GGCATGATGGCTCATGCCTATAATCCTAGCACTTTGGGAGGCAGAGGAAGGAGGATCACGAGGTCACAAGTTTGAGATCACCCTGGGCAACACTGCAAGATCCCATCTCAAAATACAAGAAAAGAAAAAAGAAAAATTAGCCAAGTGCGGTGGTGCATGCCTGCAGTCTCAGGTACTTGGGAGGCTGACGTGGGAGAATCGCTTGAGCCCAGGAGGTCAAGACTTCAGTAAGCTATGACCGTATCACTGCACTCCAGCCTGGGTGACAGAGCAAGACCCTATCTCGAAAAAATAAAAAAATGAAAGGCCACCACACACACACAAAAAAAACTCAACATAATTAGTCATTAGGGTAATGCAAATCAAAACTACAATGAGATACCACTTCACACCCACTAAAATGGCTCCAAATCACAGACAGACAATAACAAGTGTTGGTAAGAATGTGGAAAAACTGGCTGGGCACAGTGACTCAGGCCTGTAATCCCAGCACTTTTTGAGGCAGGCAGGCGGATTACTTGAGGTCAGGAGATCGAGACCAGCCTGGCCAACATGGCGAAACCCTGTCTCTACTAAAAATACAAAAAATAGCTGGGCGTGGTGGCGGGCACCTGTAATCCCAGCTTCTTGGGAGGCTGAGGTACAAGAATCGCTTGAACCCGGGAGGCGGAGATGGCAGTAAGCCAAGACTGTGCCACTGCACTCCAGCCTAGGCAACAGAGTGAGACTCTGTCTCAAGAAAAAAAAAAAAGATTGTGGAAAAACTGTGCTTGCTTTGGCTGCTCATATAGTGAAAACTGGAATGATACAGAGAAGATTAGCATGGCCCCTGCACAAGAACCACACAGAAACTCGTGAAGATTTCATATTAAAACTGAAAAACAGTGAAAACACGGAAAGCTTCATACACTGCTAGTGGGAATGTAAAATGGTTCAGCCTTTTAGAAGACAGTCTGACAGTTCCTTAAAATGTTAAACAGAGTTACAGTATGACCCAGCAATTCTACTCTTAGATATAGAACCAAGAGAAATGAGAACATGTGCACACAAAAACTTGTTTGCAGATATCCAGAATAGCCTTATTTATAATAGGCAAAAAGTGGAGACAACCCAAATGTCCGTCAACTGACAAACGGATAAACAAAATGTGGTATACCCATATAATAAAATGTTATTTGGCGATAAAAAGGAATGAAGTACTGGCACATTTACAACATGGGTGAACTTTATGCTAAGTCAAAGCAGCCAGACACAAAAGACCACATACTGTATGATTCCATTTATAAGATCTAAAAATCATTTGTATACTTTACCTACGTGTATATTTATGGTATGTGAATTTTATCTTAATAGAGCTGTTTAAAATCTATATAGGAGAAGAATAGCCACATGTAAATGATCTGGAGATGTAGAATCTTTAAACATTAAATTAAAAGATTATAGTATCAGGAAAACATGACAGATATGAAACAAACAGTAACCAGATCAATAATACTGTAAACTAGATGATAAAAGAATGAGTTGGCTGGGCACTGTGGCTCACGCCTGTAATCCCAGCACTTTGGGAGGTCTAGGTGAGCGAATCACAAGGTCAGGTCTTATATTATTTGAATTCTTATGTTTTTATTACCTGTGTAAAAACATAATTTAAAAAAAATTGTGCTATAAAAAGGCTTACAAAAGTTACAACATTTATACCACTGTGTTGCCCAGACTGAACGAAAACACTTGAGGTCAAGAGATCCTTCTTCCTCAGCCTCCCAGGCAGCTAGCCTCTCCCACCTCCATTGAGGGTAACTGCTAGGACGTGCCACCATCACTGATGGGTGTGCACTGTATCCCTTGGGCAGGTTGGCCTACTCTGGACTGTGAGGCTCCCACCAAGATACTGCCCGCCTGGGATGCCTGGGCTGAGTTGTAGCCTGCGCTTCCTCAATACGCCTCCATCTTGGCTCTAACTTAGACACTCTGAAGATTCTTTCTAACATTGTATTCTTTTATCCAGTCTAACTTCACTCTACAGATGAAATGGCTGAGGGCAACTGACTTTAAGAACTTTACCTAAAATCACACAGCTGAATAATGGCAGAGCCAGAACTAGAACCAAAGCCTTCTGATTCCCCAGCCCAATGTTTTCCTTCATTCTTGTGTGCTGCAGTTGTGTTCTCCCCCATTTTGACTGCTCCCGCTTGGCCTTTGTGGAAATCCCTTACCCCTACTGCGTAACCTTCCTTCTCAAGACCTGTTGGCATTTCCTGGGGCTCTAACCATCTTCTCAACCTTTTTTTTTTTTTTTTGGAGCCGGAGTCTCGCTCTGTCCGCCAGGCTGGAGCGTGCAAGTGCCGGCTCTCCCTCACTGCAAGCTCTGCCCTCCATGGGTTCCCACCATTCCCTCCTGCCTCAGCCTCCAGCAGCTGGGCCCGGTGCCGCCACCGGCCCACGGCTCGTTTTTTTTCTTTTTTCGTCCACGGGGTTTCACCGTGTTTTCGCCCGGATGGTCTCCGCTCTCCCGACCGTCGGATCCGACCATCTTGGCCTCCCCCAACAGTGCTGGGAGTCCAGGCTTGAGCCACCGCGCCTGCTTTTTTTTTTTTTACAGAAGATGCAGGGTGGTGTCTTGCTGTGTTGCCCAGACTGAACGAAAACACTTGAGGTCAAGAGATCCTTCTTCCTCAGCCTCCCAGGCAGCTGGAACTACAGATGCACACTACCATGCCAGCTTCTCATACATTATTTAACACCAAAATTTATACATCTTATCCAAAGATATATTTTTTTTTAATTTCAAAAAATTCCTTTGATATTACCAGGCATGTGAAAAAAAAATCCTATAAAATTTTATGTCTCTAAATTCACTGACTCAAAAAAAGAAAAAAAAAAGGCCGGGCACGGTGGCTCATGCCTGTAATCCCAGCACTTCGGGAGGCCAAGGCGGGCAGATCATGGGGTCAGGAGATCCAGACCATCCTGGCTAACACAGTGAAACCCCATCTCTAGTAAAAATACAAAAATAAAATAAAATAAAATAAATTAGCCAGCCGTGGTGGCGGGTGCCTGTGGTCCCAGCTACTCGGGAGGCTAAGACAGGAGAGTGGCGTGAACCCGGGAGGCGGAGCTGGCAGTGAGCCAAGACTGCGCCGCTGCACTTCAGCCTGGGCGACAGAGCAAGACTCTGTCTCAATAAAATAAATACAAAATAAAAAAAATAAAAAATTCACTGACTATCTCTGGAAGACATAATATATTAAAAGTCAGTGGCAGCCACTGACAAAGAACTGAGCCAAGCAGAGAGAGATGTTTTCATCAAATATCTATCTTATATTTGAATTCTTATGTTTTTATTACCTGTGTAAAAACATAATTTAAAAAAAATTGTGCTATAAAAAGGCTTACAAAAGTTACAACATTTATACCACATGTAGTATTTTCAATGAAAAGAATACAATTACAAACTACTAGGGCCACCTTTAAAAAAAAACTCAGAAAATGTATCTATATACAAAATTTAAAGACTAATGTCTCAGAACATGATTGATAGATGAACCATAGATGTTACCTAATGTTAACAAAGTAGGTACAATTGGGCCTTACGATACTAGGATGCCTAAGAATAAAAATGAGTAAAAATAAATCAAAGATCTACATTTTTGTGTTCACTTCTCCCTAAATACAATTTGCTCTGCAACGGAATGAAGAAAATAAAGGGCTCATCACAATTACTGTGATCTCTGCGGGCAGAGGGATAAGTCTGTATGTATATGTGTGTGTGTAACAGAATTTTCTCCACAATCACAGTAATTTAGTTTGTTGCTTAGTTTTCAGTAATTCCACTTCTAAAATAATTTATTAGGCTAGAAGTCCCATCATTAGTTCCACCAACCACATAAAGAAGAGAAGACAAAACTTTAGAGACTTTTAGCCACCTACTGAATCCAGACATCTTGACTGTTAACGATCCTAGCTACAGAATTTGCTGAATTCGAATAGATTCATAGAAAAAAGTGAATATAAATACAATGTATGTTGGGTATAGGTTCTAAGCTATCTGAACATGATGATCACAGCATGTAACAACACAAAACCGTTCATTTATTCCTTCCTTTGTTCAAATACTTAATGAAAGATTACTACATGTCCAGCACCGTGCTGAGAACTTCTGATATAATGTTTATCCAAAACATGCTTGGCTCCTGCTCTCACAGAGCTTAGTGTAATGGAGAAAACAAACTAAACGTGCCAGCAGCTCTGTGAAGAAAATTATCCTCTATGCGATGGAGATTTTTTGTTTGTTTTGAGACGGAATCTTGCTCTGTCACCAGACTGCAGTGGTGTGATCTCGGCTCACTGCAAGCTCTGCCCGCTGGGTTCACACCATTCTCCTGCCTCAGCCTCCCAAGTAGCTGGGACTACAGGCGCCCGCCACCACGCCCAGCTAATTTTTTGTATTTTTTAGTAAAGACGGTTTTAGTTGGCCAGGATGGTCTCGATCTCCTGACCTCGTGATCCACCTGCCTCAGCCTCCCAAAGAGCTGGGATTACAGGTGTGAGCCACCGCGCCTGGCCATGCGATGGAGATTTTAAAGCAGCAGTAGCAAGTTCGGATCTGCATTTTAGCATAAGAACACCATCTTGTGAAATTACAGTGTGAGTGAAATTATATTGTAGAGAGGTACTTAAGGTAGTAGAACCAAATTACTACATAGAAATACAATGTTAACATTCTTTTAATTCCTCAGAAAGAAAGGCACCAAGGGATTTTTGGTGATTGTAAATCCAAGGCCAGACTTGTTGCTGACATCCTCAAAGCACTTTGGTCTTGCCACAGCCCAGAGCCTTGGTTCAGCAACCACTAACTCCAGACACTGCTTCATAGGTAATCACCCGAGCCTTCTCCTTCCCAGTCTTCTTTCCATAGCCCTGCCAAGGATTCAGAGCCAAGACCACCAGCATCACGGCCAGTATAGTTGGCCACCTATTTCAAAAGAGGAGACTCTGCTCACCTGATAATCCAGTTTAGCCTGTCGCATCTTCATCATTTCTTCATGGAAGACACTGTTTTCCAAAAAAAATAAAGCAAGAAAGCAAGTATATAAAGAGAAAACTCCTTGTCAATTTCATCTCTTTATGCATGTACTCTTTTGGGTTATTTGGAACCAATCGATTCTGCCTTACAGAAGGCATCAGCTTCTAGAGGCTACCTGCACTGACTGCAGGAGGACTTCCCACCCTTTAACACCACACTTACACCAGAGGACCTCAGGAGACTGAAATACTCCAAGGACAAGAAAAAGATGAAAACACAGACCCCATGCATGCAGGGATTTCCTTTTGTTTTAAACAATGTCTTGAGTACGCGTTATGCTCTGAACACAGTGGTAAGCATTTTACATGGTATTATTTTGTTTATTTTTTAAAACAACCCTATGAACTAGATACCATTATTTTTTACACTTTGAAGATGAAGGAAGACTTGAAGAGTCATGTGTAAGGCTAAACAGCAGAAACAGACCCCAATTCTGGTCTCCTTCTGGCATCTAAATTACATCTGAAAAATCAAACATATTTATTTGTTTTTTGGAGTTAGTTCTACGACAGGGAAAATTACACTGTGTATAGCATCTTATTAGAGCCTACTGAATTCCTGAAGATCTGGGCATTTAATTTAACTTACTCAAGTCTGTCATTAATAACACTTATTATGCCAGTCATCGAAGGAGACGACTGTAAGTATGGATGAATAGGTGACATTTATTGCCACCAGGAGACAGATCTGCTTGAAGGCAGAAAGAAACAACAAAAATGGAATAAAACCAGTCTTCAGCTGATAAACCAAGCCCTTCTGAACATTTAAAAACACTCTTTGGGCCCGGCACAGTGGCTCACACCTGTAATCCCAGCACTTTGGGAGGTCTAGGTGGGTGGATCACAAGGTCAGGAGTTCGAGACTAGCCTGGCCAACATGGTGAAACCCTGTCTCTACTAAGGATACAAAAAATTAGCCAGGTGTGGTGGCCATGCCTGTAATCCCAGCTATTCGGGAGACTGAGGCAGGAGAATCGTTTGAACTCGGGAGGCGGAGGAACAGCGAGATCACACCACTGCACTCCAGCCTGGGGACAGGGCGAGACTATGGCTCAAAACAAACAAACAAACAAACGGGGGAAAAAAAAAAAAACTCTCTCTGAAGGCTTTTCTATTGTTGACAATTTCCTAATTTAAGACTTTTATTTTGTGATTCAGCATTCTTGGAAAGTGTGAAGTATGAAATTAGGCAGAAATGGTTCTCAATTATTTGGATGATAAATGTTTACTGGGAACTTAGTGCCAGAAAAACTGGAACTACAAGGTGCTATTTAAGAAGACAAATTCCAATACCACAAAGAGAAACATGGTTTTTGCTACATGTGGGGCAAATATACCAAAGCATTTATGTATGGCTTAATGGTGTGCCACTATATTCCTACATTTTAGAAGGTTCTATGCATCTTACTAATGCATAGCAACTTGGAATTTGCATGCTGTCACAAAGACTCTTCCTCTTCATTCACTTGTGAGGCAGGTTTAACAACCCTCACACACAGACGTGGAGGTGCTTTCTGATTTTCTGACATGCCTCTCTATTTATTAATTCACTCATGATCTTTATGTTTAAAAAACAAACAAACAAAAAATACTGGGTGGTCAATAAATCATCTCTTTTCTCCCAGCTCCAAAGAGGAACAAATAAACAAAAATGTCAGACACAACAGCCTCTGGCCTTGACTTTTTGTGCCCTCATGTTCTCACCAGATATGTTCCTACGTTTTCTGTTTCTTTTCTTTTTTTTTTTTTTGAGACGGAGTCTCGCTCTGTCGCCCAGGCTGAAGTGCAGTGGCCAGATCTCGCTCACTGCAAACTTCCGCTCCGACGGTTCACGCCATTTCCTGGCCTCAGTTTCCGTAGTAAGACTGGACTTGCAGCGCCCAGCCCCCTCGCCCAGCTAGTTTTTTTGATATTTCAGTAGGAGACGGGGTTTCACGTTGTTAGCCAGGGATGTCCGATCCTCGCCTGACCTCTGTGATCCGCCGCTCGGCCTCCCAAAGTGCTGGGATTTACAGGCGTGAGACACTGCGCCCTGCCTGTTTCTCTTAATATTTTTGACGCAGTGACACGTATTTTAAACCCAAATTTAAAAATCCCTTCATTAATATAGTGGGACAAAAAAAAAAAAAAAGATAAACAAAAACAAACTAAGTGCTAGAATATTACAGGTATTCCAGTGAGTATAAGTATAAATTTTTTTTTAGACAGTCTTGCTCTGCCACCAACTGGAGTGCAGTGGCTTGAACTCATCTCACTGCAACCTCTACCTCCTGAGTTCAAGCCATTTCTTGTGCCTCAGCCTCTGAAAGCTGAACTACAGGGGTGCAATCCGCCCGCTACATTTTGTAATTTTTTTTTTTTTGGAGGACAGAGTCTTACTCTGTTGCCCAGGCTGGAGTGCAGTGGCGCGTCTCGGCTTACTGCAACTCTCCACCTCCAGGTATCAAGCGATCTCCTGCCTCAAACTCCGAGTAGCTGGACTATAGCGTGGCACGTCACTACCACCGGCTAATTTTTGTAATTTTTAAGTACAGACAGAGTTCACTTGTTAGCCAGGATTGTCTGATCCCGACGCTCGACCGTCTGTGATCTGCACACCTCAGCCTCCCAAGTACTGGATTACAGGCTGTGACCACTGTGCCGGCCAAGGCCAATTTTTGTATTTTTAGTAGAGATGGGGTTTTGCCATGTTGGCCAGGTGGGTCTTGATTCCTGACCTCAAGTGATCTGCCCACCTCGGCTTCCCAAAAGTGCTGGGATTACAGGCGTCAGCCATTGTGCCTGGCCATGTATCAGTATAAATTTTTTAAAGTTCTGCATAAAATGACATTATATAGCAAAAGGAGAAATTTGGAGAAAAAAGTCTACGTTAGGGACTAGTTTTTCATTTTTTAAAATTTATTAATTTATTTATTTACTTATTTTGAGATGAAGGGTTCACTCTTGTTGTCCAGGCTGGAGTACAATGACGTGATTTCGGCTCGCTGCAACCTCCGCTTCCCAGATTCAAGCGATTCTCCTGCCTCAGCCTCCTGAGCAGCTGGGATTACAGGCGCCCGCCACCATGCCCGGCTAATTTTTTATTTTTAGTAGAGACAGGGCTTCATCATTTTGGCCAGGCTGGTCTCAAACTTCTGACCTCAGGTGATCCACCCGCTTTGGCCTCCCAAAGTGCTGGGATTATAGCCATTTTCTTTTTTAATTAAAAATAAACTAGGCCAGGCACGATGGTTCACACCTATAATTCCAGCACTTTGGGAGGCCGAGGCAGGTGGATTGCCTGAGCTCAGGGGTTTGAGACCAGCCTGGCCAACACGGTGAAACCCCGTCTCTACTAAAATACAAAAAATTAGCAGGGAGTGGTGTCATGCACCTGTAATCCCAGCTACTCAGGAGGCTGAGGCAGGAGAATCACTTGGACCCGGGAGGCGGAGGATGCAGTGAGCTGAGATCACGCCACTGCACCACTCCAGCCTGGGTGACTGTGTGGGACTCCGTCTCAAAAAAAAAAAAAAAAAGAGCCAGAGCGCCAGTGGCTCATGCCTGTATTCCCAGCATTCCGGTGGCCAAGGCCGGCGATCACCGAGGTCAGGGTTCAAAGGAGTCTGGCCAACATGGGTGAAACCCCATCTCTACTAAAATACAAAAAATTAGCGGTATGGTGGTTTGCACACCTGTAACCCAGGTACTCAGGAAGCTGAGGCAGGAGAATCGCTGAACCAGGGCAGAGGTTGCCGCGTGAACCAGTTGGTGCCACTGCCACTCCTGCCTGGGCAACAATGCAAGACTCCCAAAAAATAAATACAAAATAAAAAATAAAAATTCACCTGACTATCTCTGGAAGACATAATATATTAAAAGTCACGTGGCAGCCACTGACAAAGAACTGAGCCAAGCAGACAGAGAGTTTTCATCAAATATCTGATGTTATATTGAATCTCGTTGTTTTTATACCGTTAAAAACATAATTAAAAAAATTGTGCCTAATAAAAAGGCCTTACAAAGTTACATTTATACCGACATGTAGTCTTTCAATGAAAGAGAATACAATGACAAACTACTAGGCGACCACCTTTTAAAAAAAACTCAGAAAATTTTTTTCTTTGACAGGTCTGCTCTCTGTCGCCCGCGTAGAGTGCAGTGGCATGATCTGCTCCACGTGAAATCTCCCCATGAACTAGTATTTTCCAAAACAGCTGCGTGCACACAATCTGCACTGCTGTCTCCAACACTAAACCAAAGGTGTCGACGCTTTCTGGCGTGGGGGAAAAAACGAATCATTCCCACCCCATCTGCTACAACCGTCTTCAAAGAACTGTGTAAGTTACTGCATACGACTAAGTTCTTTCAAATGTTCTCCATAAGGCCTCAAATAGTGAAAAGAGAGAGCGAGGTATGTCTTTGACAGTTACATCTAGACACCCTCTGATTCCTTCATCAAGCCCTGAGGCAAGCTGAACAGACAATCTGATATAAATAGGGTACATCAAAGCAGTTTTGACCTGAACAGAAGACAATAAATAACATGTCAGTAACTGCGTAACATTTTGAGGCGCTCCTATATAGCATAAAAGTCACATTTTCCTGTTTCCGTTTCACTAATTATAATTAAAAGTATACCTTTAGTTAAATTATAACCTATAAAGATGTTTTATAACGCCCTGGTGCAGTGGCTCACGCCTGTAATCCCAACACTTTGGGAGGCTGCAGCGGGTGGATACCGAGGTCAAGAGATCTGAACAATCCTGGCCAACATGGTGAAACTCCATCTCTATTCTATATATATATATCAAAATTAGTTGGGCATGATGGCGTGTGCCTGTAGTCCCAAGCTGCTCAGGGCGTGCAGGCAAGAGAATTGCTTGAACCTGGGAGGTGGAGGGTTGTAGTGAGCCGAGTCATGCCACTGCCCTCCAGCCCTGGTGACCAGAGCGAGACTCTGTCTCAAAAAAACAAAAAAGATATTTTAC